CCACTCTCTAATTTAAGTAAATCCTGATCAATCCGAAATGATGCGTAAAACACAAACGAGTCTTAAGCAACTTCGCCTCAGTAACCATCAAACTCGTTATTTGACATCTGGGCAACCTGCCAACAGGAGCCCTAATCGTAATTCAATTCCCTTCGGCTAAAAAAACTGAAGGCATTGTACGAGTAATAGTACAAAATAGATGTAAAGTCCACCACATCTTGCTACATGATCCTCTACAGAGGTTACCAAATAATACTCTGATTCACTTGTGAATTGTCTCATCACCCACAAACATACCTAAATTATCGTAGGTAAAGAATCATGAGGCTTCCTTTTAATACTAGTTAATTAAATATTACGATATACAATAAAACCACAAGGGTCATAAAGTCGAAGTTTAATTATTTTTAGCCGTAATGCAACGTTGTTCGTACGATTTTATTAAATTTCTTCTTAGTCGTTCCCCTCGCTTTTATTCCTAGGCGACAACGATCAAACATCACCGTATCACTTCCAAGTGGGCGTACATGGCGAAATTCATGGATGTTGGCAATTACAACTGAACAGTAAATCACATCCCTTCATTAATTGGGCGGTAGCGCTGAGCCAATAAAATCCTTCTCCCAGCTGGCGCAAGGACTTCTCATTGCTTCACTACCGCTACCGCCGTCGCCATCCGACCCCGTCACCGACGTCGTCGCTACTGCCACCACCACGGTCGTCTCCGCCGCCATTGCCACTGACATCAACACGTTTGCTGGCATCACTGCCGATGTCACCACCGATCCCCGCCACATTCCACATCATTTCCCATGCCATTGCGACCGCGAATTTCATTGATCCTACCGACAGAGGTCTCAACAGCGTAACCATTTCCACCACCACGCCTGCCTACGGCACCTCTACTCTCTGGCTCTCACCTCGACTGCCATCCCCGAACGGCGGGGTGGCGGCGTTTAACGGCGCGGGAAAGAGCCGGGGGGCGGTCGTTACAATGGAATTCCTGAGCGGTCGTTTGGCGGAGGCGGTGGTGCGGGTGGGGGGTGCGGGTGTGGCAAACGCGACAACCCGCTTTACGACCCTACGCAGGAAGGAATTAAGGGCACGCGCCGGCGTTATACGGCGCTCCGCACGCCCCCGGAAGGACACTTCGTCAGCTAATGCTGACCGCTCTGCAAGGGCACTGAAGATCAAACCCTGCTTAGGAAGCCCATGCATTCGTTTTTATGACCCGGAGTGTGTGCGGCTACAAATACTCTTCCTCTTTTTGCTTTGTGCATTCAACAGAATTGGAAATGTTTCGCTTTTAGGAGCCTTTGCATCTTTAGACACACTGAAAAGAAATATTTCATATTAAGGAATATAATACGGTTCCGGTTTTCAAATTTCCAGGCACCACAAAAAAGCCTGCGCTAAAAATGACTATCGTCTGCAATATTCAGAAAAACGCTACATCATCATATGACGACGACTGACAACAAAATGAAAGATGTCAGAACGATAGTAACCAGGGACAGCTCTTAAGAGCACAGTTATCAAATTGAAAGTACACGCACGATTTCACTTTATTCTTTGAAAGTTTTCTCAAGCTCTCAGCTACATCATTGCCCCAAGTGTTGGCTAATACTATGAAAGTTAACGTCAATTCGCAAATTATCGTCACTGTCCATAAATAAATGCTTAAGGGCTTATTCGTGGTATTGTTTTAATCTTCGATATCAGCTAAAAGTATTGTAATTTGTAGGACGAAAAATTCATATGGGTTTATTTTAATCTCTTCCTTGCGAAGTTATTTGGCTATCCTTTTTCATATTTTTAATGAATAAACAAACAACAAAATTATTACATGCATAATTCATGTATCATTTCCACCATTATCAAATCTTACAACGAGGTTGAGGAGAACAATGCAATTGCTCTGGTCCTTCATTACACAAGTTGGCAGCAATTCAAATTAATCCACCATAATTACATTCCACCCTTACAACATTTAATTCCACCCTTCAAGCATGACCGTCATACACTCACGTCTACACTATATTAGACTCTTTTCGTTTATTTTCCAAAGGAGTAAAAGTGTGACCAAGGTACTGACTAATCAAAATATTCTATTGCTATTCGTGAATAAAAATTTAATTCAGAAGTAAAATAATTCTGATTATAAAAGCACATTCTACGTGGCAAGAAGGGAAAAAACTGTGGTCCCAGAAAGGTGCTTAGTAACAATGTACGACTGTGACGTTAGAAATCTGACGTTAAACTGCATAGTCTAAACATCATGTCCACTTTCACTTTGAGTGCAAAGACATTGTTAATATTTACTTCCGTAAAATTAGATGAATGTGACAGTACCATTTACCTTCGAAGTACAGATTCATTTTACTTCATTAGAATCATCAGACACTTCCTAAAACATACAGGAATTTGGAACATTGTCATTAAAGAACATTTTTCCCATATTCAGAAAAAAATAATGAAGTATATATTTCATGAACAATACTCGAAAATTATTTTCGGATTAAAAATTCATTTAACAATAAGAGAATTTACCGAATTCGGAAACTTCGCATGTTCGAAAGGCAGAGTAAATGTCCTTATATGCCCTCCAGCCGTTACGGGAGCTGAGCAGACTATATCGTCGGAAGATTAAACCCGGACGCCGCGGCGGTATTTCTAGAATCAGGCCGTGAAGTCAACTTTGATCTTCCGTGGTACCATGCAAGTACCTGTATTAATTCATTCATTTAATGTTTGAATACATAAAATAGAGAGTTTAATCAAACGAAAAAATCTATACTATTCGGATTAGTCTTGCTTTACTATTGTGTTCATAACGTATTAAACAATATGCGTATTAAAAATGCTAGAAACACCCCAGGCGGCTGATGTCTGGTTTCCCAGTGGCGCATGCCAGCGCGAAGGAAGATCTGTGAGCGTTCCCACGGCGGAGGAGGGGCCACTGCACTTCCCGGCGGGGCAGGTCGCCCACCCGCCGCCCACGGAGCCGCGGCCTCAAACGGCCGCCCACAACTGCCAGCCGCCGCGACGGGCCGCGCCGTCGATGTTCGACCGCAGGAGTATCGACGAGGGCGGTAGCGCGGCGCGGCGCGGCGCGGCGCGGCACGGCCACGAGGTTGCACGCGCGCGCGGGCTGCCCGCATTAGGCTGGCGAGGGCGAACGCGAAGCCCTTTCCACGAACGCGTTAGCCCTTGGCTTTTCACGGCGGCGGCGGGAGCGGGAACTAAGTGGGGCGGGGGCGGGGCGGNCGGGGTTGGGGTTGGGACGACGCGACGGGGCGGACGCACGCGAGCCCTGAGGTCGGCGCAACGCGGCAGTAGAACATGTGGGCGACAAACATATCGGAATGGAGGGACACCTCACTCAGTCCCTTGTCTACTGCAGTACCTGACCAAGAAACGTGAGAATTAGATTGTAAGCACCAATTACGAGTTAGATGATTTCAAGAACAGGCAAGGATATACATTCTTTGTACATTCTAATTCAAATTCACAAATTCAGTCTCTTCAATTTTTACTCCAATTTTCTTTTCTTTCATAATTTATTTATTTGACCTCCACAATATGTCATATTGTTTTAAATACGTAACATTAAGTTGCATTCATATTGTTTATTATTTACTATGAAAACCAAACAAAGAACGAACAAGTTCTAAAACAATACGGCAAAGACAAAAATTACTCGACTTATACATTTTGCAAAACGTTCCCAGCACACCCATGCACGTACGTACGTACTTAGGTACCTCCATACACGTATATTCATATGAACTGCATTGATGTCTCAGCGATAAAACAAGAGGCGCCCGTCCCATTCATTGACATCTTTTCTTTTTCATCCCTTCCGCGACTTCAGACATCATTTTTCTTTCCCCCTTTTACGCTTTTTTCTTCCCTGTCCATCCGGAATAAACAGATTAATGTGTGTAATAACTTTGTATGAATAACGACTTTAAGGCAGTTTCTATAGAACGCATTAATGTTCACGCGTTATAGCAGAGATGAATAACATTATGAATGCATATCTCACGAGACAAGCATTAAAATGTCAATAAAATTACTAAGTTACACATTTCGCTGTTTTGACAGCGAATACTGATTCAATGTCATTTTGTCTCAAAATTAAAATGTTCAATGAACACATTTCCTAACAAATTTCACGGTAATGGCATTTCAAACTTTTAAAATTAGTATTTATCACAGAAAATAACGCATTAATGTTTTTGTAAGTTCGATGTCGTAGGAACGTTTCATTGTACAGTGTAAATATTCCTACGATATCGAACTCTCAAAGCAGTGATGAATTACCAATAGGTAAATAATATAAATACGTAATATTTTTATCAATCGAACAAATCTTTACTTGAGCGCCATCACAACCGGAAATACAACGAAATTACGGAACGCAGATACACAAAACGCTGAAGAAGTTAAAGAAGGTAACTCGTTCAAGAGAATCTTTAAAACTCTTGTTTTTATCCTTTACTGCACGGTACGCGTTTTTTACTGTAACCAATAACGACACGACTCTTACTCAATGAAAGTGACAATGAGAAATTACCACTACTATAACGAAGCCCATTATCATCGCCGTGTAGTAGTAATTCATTCTCCTGATATTCAGCCCATTAGAAGAGGCGAGTGGCGACCGACGAAACAACGTCCAGGCACAAAACAACATATCTTGCATGTACATGGCCAAAGGTGAGCAATTTTAATGTAATGTTGTTTGGCTAAAGCGAGTAGCCATTAAAGTGAGATTGAAGAAAAGTGGAAATAAAACTTCGTGTGAGAATTGTAAAGCAGAGGATATTTAAAAATATTAAAAGCTAATTTAATTTTACATTTGTAATTAGATTATAGGTTTTGTCATGTAGGACTCTCTAAGAAAAAAAATCTGCCTTCACAAAATAATAACCTCACTATCTTCACTCGATCGTCGTCGAACTATCGTCGATTAGGTAGTGTTGGCAATTTCGGGATCAGTATAACATCGTAATTGTGAACTGAAAGAAAAAAATAACGTTTTAATTGTCAAGATTGTAAATTACGAGTCTAAAACACTAAACATTACGACGACAAAATTCATTTAACCCAACATTTTGTAACGTTTATTTCCCAATAGAAAAAAAGTAGGTGGTAGAAGAAATCATAAGGTATTTACTTGTTTGAATTTGACAAGAGAGTAGTTACAAAGGGCAAAAAACATTTTTATTTTCTCGCATACTACACACGTATAGTGAATGTTACATGTTATGCTGCAGTGAAAACGGCGATTTTGCGGTAGAAAAAAAAATCGTATTGTAAGTCTCGAAACCAAAAAAGTACATAATGCTTGTTCCTAAAGGTAGCAAATTACTTCTTCTAAGGCGGGTTGACTGAGTCAACATTTTGTGGGATTTGTGTACCGAAAAATTGTTTACGGGAAAACGTTCGTCCATTTTTGAGCAACCCAAGTAGCTAAATTAAAAACAGAATTTTCCCTTAAATTGATGTTCCCTGATCAGCCTACTTTACATGACGCTTAAATAAAAACTGATTTTTTTTCCTTCAAAAAACTGCTCCAAATTTTTGAATTAAATATCTTAACCAGATACGGCAAAGTAAGTTAATAGAAATGGCACAGGTCCGAGTTTCGTTATATACTCAATTTTTGAATATTGCAAAAATTCCGAGAAAGTATGTGCTGTTTTACTACCACTAGCTTGTATTTGTTGTAAGACGCATAATAAACAGTTAAGATGATTGATTTCTGTCAGTTAAACGGTCGTTAATTAAGAAATCACAATTAAACAGACAACGTAGTATCTAAAGAATCATAGTTTCAACAACGGCAACTAGCTCTGTGAATCCGCGCTGTAACGCGAACCGTGGCCAACGGCCGACGTAAACCCGCGTCTAGCACGGTGTGTCTCGTTTCCGGGAAGCGAGAGGCGGCACCGCCACCGCAATAAACGCGGCGGGAGGGCTTCAATCCTGCATAAAACAGCGCCCGCAATTCGCGATCGCTCGCCTCGTGCAAGTTGCAAGAGGCGGTGGCCAGAGGGTCACGCGAGGTCCCCTGGGCACAGGGTCGAACCCGGGCCTTCCAATTCGTTTCAGGTAGACGGGCCCCGTCCTTTCTCAACCCCCCAGGGAGCAGGGGACTGCCGCCCGGGAGCATTACGGGCCGCTCGGCGGCGCCGCTGGTCGGTTGTGTGACGAATCAACCGACCTGATCCAATGTTGTCTGCTTCACACGAGGGTACGGCAATGGAATAAACTAGTTCTTTCGACCCTTGCACAGAAGATATAAGAGACTTGTTACACTTTACCGAATCGACAAACGTGAATGGTTAAGATAGGTAATCCACAACTTTGTAGGAAGGCGACAGCTACAAGAGTTTTTGTACCGCTTGGAAATCCGTAGATACGTCAACAGGCAAGCCTGTGACCAATGAGTTGTGCTCATAGTGCCCTCGAAGACGTTACGTTGTTCCCACGAGTAAAGAAAGTGTTGTGCTACCTTTCAATTCCTACGGATATATGTCAAATTGATTTTTACGTCCTTTCCCATATGGTTGCTTTTTGACTGCTTTAGCGATACCATCAACACACACTACCAAAATTGATACCACGCCGATTATCATAATTTTTATAAAACTGCAGAAATTAGTAAACAAATACTGTAATCCGAAATTCTTCTGACGTAATGTTCGGGTTCACGAATACGCATTGGATCTGAAGTTGTTAATCCTGGACGACATTTCTCTACGCTGTAAAAAGCTCGCCATTTAACGAAGACGCACCATTCATGGTAGTGAGTAATAGGCCACAGAATTTTCTAATGACCGAACTTCACATCTCTGGGCTACTTTTAACTTAGGATGGATAAAAGATCATTCTTCCGGACGACTTCAGATCTCTCTTTCCACTCGCCCGCAATCTCCCCAAGATTTCCAGCTCTTATGCAGCGAACCCTTCGTTATCCTAATTTCATGACCACTATATAGGGACCTAATTCGTTCCGATGCATTTTATAAACATGCGAAATTGAGTAACGTAAAGGCCCAATACTCAACTTATTTGTTAATAATAACATATGATGGGAAAATTGTGTGATTGTGATATACCAAAATAAGGTCTCCTATCATAATTTTCATTACTTATAAAATACGGACCGAACGTAACGTGAAAATAAACAAGGATATATATTAAAAAAATCACTTCCATTTGAAATCGCTATCAGAGGTACGGTAACTCGTTAATCAAGCATGATTCAGCAACCAAGTGACTGATAACTCTGTACAAACAAGGAAAAGGCAAGCAACGGGTCCATCAGAAGCAATTACTGATTACTTTTGAAGCGGAATACCAGCACAAGTTCTTTCAAACCATTAGACTCATCGAATTTTATGATACGAGTTTGCATACTTTCTCTCTACTGAGACGTTTTTTAAAACTTTTCCATAAATAAAAAATATAATCAAGTTACTTACTGGGGGGAAAATAAAAAATATTTATTTAATATTTGTTCAGGGCCGATGATTCTATGAAAAAGGCCATACATTTGAATAATTTAACTTACTGAAAATATTAAGTTAAAACGTAAATTCAAAATATAATTATTTACTCATATTAAAAAACCTTACACGTTGCTTTTTAAGCTGAAATAATAATGAAATATTTATTAAACTTCACAATTTTCAGTTATGATACCTATGGTATTCGAAAGGAAGACATTCATAAGTCCTCCCACTAAGTCCAACCCCGTACATACAATTTACTGTATCCACTCTCCCAAATATTTTAGTGCATTAATTTTTCATAGTACTGTCCACAGTTAATACACAATCAATATGACATTGCATCTCTGATATCAAATACGCCACTTAATTACACCTCTCTGGTTAGTGCTGAGCTTTACGGCCTCACTCAAGAACGAACATTTTCTTTCTGCTTGTTGATTTTCGTCCGTCTTCTCAAGTCGTCAGTCTCCAAGCCATCAAACATTACCAACCTATTATTTTCCAGTAGGCTGTGTCTATAGTTGTATAGAATTGACGTCAAATACAGACGAAATATAACACCTAATTATGATTCGTTCCACTACTTCCTCGTGCATTCTGTAGTGCATTTTATTCGTTTCTTCGAGACTAACGAGTGACAGGTAAAGTAATACTAGTTAACTTACTAATATTACATTTCAAAACTAGTGGTATTACAACAGCACGTAATGCTTCATCTCATTTGTAACTTTTGCAGTTTTCGAAAATTCACGAAGTTAAACGGAATATTAGAGCCGTACCATTGTTTAAAAGTTGCCTATATTTCACACAAAATTACGACAAAACCACTAATTTTCAAAACATTGTACATGAACATATTTCAAGATATTTCACAAATATCAGTAAGGAACACTTCTAATCTTCAACGTTGTCGTTGTAGAAAAACAATTTCAAAAATTCAGATTTCATCGGAAATGAGATCTTGGTCCTTTTCAGGAGTCTTTTGCGCTACCGAAGAAAAAGTTCAACCAAAAAATTTTGAGCCATTTTTGAGAATTTTAAAAATTTAGAGGTTCCATGTGAAGTACCCCCAAAATCAAAATACCCGTTTGAAATTCGCAGGCCGTCGATTCTGATCGATCCAAGATCGGTCAGATCGTTCGGGGAATATCAGATTTGGAGATAACCGTCTGAAAGGTTTAGGCGCCAGCGTTGACCGCGGACGGACAGACGGGACAGAGAGAGAGACAGACGGGACAGAGACAGACAGGCAGGACAGACGGGACAGAGACTTTTGCCGTCAGTCAATTTGGTATCAAGGACCCGTAAAAGGACTGTGGGTTTTGAATAGAGGAATAGATTAGAGGAAGTAATTCACTACATACAGATACACGTTTACTCACTTTTTTTGATACCAGGGCCCCACAACTACGAGTTTCTTCAGACGTCAAATCGCCGATTTTTGCCAAAACATTACCACATTTTCTCTTTATTGCACGAGTACGTAGTAAGGAGAGAAAATAAAAATAGACGAATGCATCACACAACATTAATTCGTACTTTTTCATTAACGTTCTTTTTTATTTGAACGATATTAAATAAATACATTCAACAAAATAATTTTGAAGTAGGCTTTCAATAAAACAAGTCTGTGAATCACTACCCTCAGTAATTGGTAATATTGCCATTGATAATAGTTTGTGGATCTACATAATGCCATTCGTAATGGACATACGAAATATATTGTTCTGATATGTTTCAGTCATTGGCACCTTAACTCAAAACGTGATGCGCACATGACTCAACGTACACTTTTGCGAACGACTAACGGCACTTCATTAATACCGTTTTACTTCCGCTGTAATCTTCTGCGAGCAAAACAAAGCGTATATGCAGACCATGATAACAAGACAAACATCAAGGTAAACAGTTCCTTAAACATTCTCAAAAATATTGCTCTGAATCTCGCGTTCGGCATACTCGTGAACGAATTAGCAACATAGACATGTTACCGTTACATCAGAAGGAACAAAAACTTTTTTGCAAAATAATAATTTAGAGTCGATTGCCTAAAGATTATTTTGGAAGTATCTTTGTGTCACCTCACAAGAAAGTTTGATAACCACCCCATTGAGTCAAAACCAATAAAGCGGGCTACTTAATAGCCAGCTGTCCAGGTAAAGTGAGCGTTAATGTATAGCAATTACTTCAGTGGAGCTTTGTACACCGGCGATACCAGATTTCAACGCCATAGATAGTAAGTTTTCGGAAACATCAAAGCCAAGGACAAAGAAGTACGAAGATTAAAGATGAAAATTAGGCTCATGTTGTAAACGCTTTTCGAAATGCAAAACTGGAGCAGTTCTACAACAAACCAAAAGTATCATTTTACGCGTTCACTTGTTTGTAATATTTTTAAGTCATCGAACGGAGTGTTATATCGGATTTTAATTTTAATTAAGAGAAAAGCAATATGGCAACATGTGGACTTTATCTGTAATATCAGAACGTTCTATCTACCGAGATGGCTCAGGGAAACAACTCTGACTGAGAGGTCCTAGGGTTCTAGTACCGAGTGGTGGATTTGCAAGACCAGCTAGAAGGCAAAAAAAATAGGCGACACACCGCGTAGTCCTCTCCTCTTTCTTCACAAACACTTGCATACACTTACGAGTTACACTGCACTCTACACTACCACAAATATAGGGAAACCAGTCGAGAACTTAAGAGCTTGTTCCGACTAGGGCGGTGTCGCGCTGGGCTGAGATATCTGGAGATGCCTCCCCCCCCCCCGCAAATCGACGTGCAGGGCGGCGCCGTATCTCATGTTCTACAGCTGGACGAACACCGCCACCTCCTGGGATATAACACGCACCACACTAATGGTACGAATTACCGAGCCCAGAAACAGAAGAGAATCAATCGGCGCGGCGCGCACAGCTTCCACTATGGCCTACTATAAGAATTCAGATACGAACCCCTTCACGTGTCTTTCTTAATCAATTCAACGTGTGTGGGGTATCTCCAGGAATTTGTCTTTCATGATGGAATTAGTAAACTCACAGTAGAATAATTAGAATTGGGCTCATGTTGTAAACGTCTTTCGAAGGGCAAAATTGGAGCAGTTCTACAACAAACCAAATGTATCATTCTATAATTTCACTTATTTGTGATATTTTTAAGTTATCGAACGGAGTGCTATAACAGATTTTCATTTTAATAAATATAAACAATAATTTTCAGAAATATTTTAGTGTTTAAACTTTGTAAAGAAATGATAGTCAATGATCGATAAGTAGGAACAGAAGTTAAAATAAAAGGAACCATCATTTGAATGTTAATAAAAGGAATATGAGCCCAACGGATGCTTTTTTATTTGGCTTAGTAATGAAGAAATACTGAATTCAGGAAACACAATAACCTACTCTGTGAACTGAATTATTCCCGATTCCCAAAAACATCCTTTCACTCGCATTCGAAATTGCAGGCATCAGATATATCATTGGAGTAAAGGAACCAGTGCCAGGTGCTGCTCTAACAGTAAATGTGAGGTGGGAGGGAGCGGAGATCAACACAGCAGTCATACCTGACCACCAAGAGGGCCCACGCTCTCCGACTACTTCCGGTTGGGGCGCTGGCCGAGCTCGAGCTGGCGCATGTGGTTAGGAGCCGAACGGAGCGCAAGGAGGTAACCGTACTGCTTCCACCTTCCCAGCCAAATCAACAACCGCCCGCCCCGCCGTGAAAGGAGGGACAACCCTACAGCCTCGCTCCCAGGCACACATCTCCCTCTAATTTTCCCGCGTTTTTCTCATTTCTTTTTTCCTTGAAAATTCGTTACGTACTTTACCCCATTTTAAGAAGATATGAAATAAGGTCAAGACTGTACAAAAATATGTTAGCAAATTAAAATACTACCAAAAATAACGACGTACCATAGTATTCTCTAATTTTATAACTGTCTTTAAATTATTTTTCAACTCTAAAGAGAAAAAAAATTCTATAAAAAACTAACGTTTATAAAGTGTATTCCTTCCTGTCTTGGTTCCTAATACTCACTTTTATAATAAATTATTTTCTCCTCTTCTCCAATTCCAATAGTTTTCTCCCCGCCCCCTTATTTTTTTCTTGTCACTTTCAACTATAATATTTTGCTTTTTATGTTCGACTTATTGACATTTTTACTACGTTTACTCATCGCGTAGTGTGTGACGTGATGGTCCCTCGGCTAGCATTACAGACGTGAATGAAAATCAGGCACTGTAATTAAAACTTATACTTGTTTGGTCTATGTATTGTTTTTGATGGACAGGTTAATTATTTTTAATTAAAAACAATAAATTGTTATTTCGTTTGATGATGGTGAAATGAAGCCTCATTTGATAATTTTTAACATGTCAAGGACAATATAAACCCAACAAACGCAATTTTAAATTACATCTGTACAACTTTGACAGCATTAATCAATTAAAAAGTAAATTTTCTCCCCTTTTCTGACAATTGTTTACAGTTTGGTGTACCATTACACAGTTTGGTGCACATTTTTGGTGTAAATTAAGGCAACTGATATTTTGGACGAAATCAAGAATTCTGATATTTATAATAAAAAATAACTCACTACATGATTGAAGAACGTTCCTTCAATCATGATTCATTGCTAGCTATTGCAATAATAGGTAACAACTAGCAACACAATTCACTTGTAAGTTAAGACTTCTGTAGCCTATTTCGTGGAAAAAGTAGGATCAGATTACATTGTCCTCAGTAACGTGAATTGTCCGTCAATACTTTTTTCGCTCGAAGCCCTCAATAGTAATTTCTAGACTGTATTATTCCGTAGAAATTTGTAGCCCAAATACTAATTCAATCAACTAGTTAGCAGTAGTAATGGGAATTGACACAAAGGCGTTATTATTATTATTATTATTATTATTATTATTATTATTATTATTATTAATATTAATATTAATATTGAAGATTTTGCCGAGCGAGGTGGCTCAGGCTCTGGATTTGAAATAGGGAGGTCCGTGTTCGATCGCCGGACCGGTCATCCGGTCCGGTGTTTTCTCGATTTACCTCCGTCACAAGGCGATTATTGGGATGGTACCAAAGTCCCACAAACACTTCCCACCTCCCATTACCCCACCTAACACCTCATACCGGCATCCTAGTCCTTTCACCTCTCATCATCACCCAATAACAATAATAATAATAACATTATCTTCCCCCTAATTGATATTTACGGCTAACAACTTTGTTATTGTGTGTATATATTGTATCACCAAGGGATGCAGTTGAAAGGCTGATCCCCATAATTTCAAACGATCTCTCCAGCATAGAATACAACTGGGCCTACGAGAGAAATGTGTTGCGCGTGGTCATAGTAGTTCATACGCGAATAACAAGTAATAACAATAATAACAATAATAACAATAAAAATAATAACAATAATAAAAATAATAATATCAACAACAATATCAACAACAATATCAACAACAATATCAACAACAATATCAACAATATTAACAGCAATAATAACAATAATAACAACAACAACAATAAAGATTTTTTATCATTCCCTGATTTCCCCCCGACTTTTCTAGATCAATGAAGTTTCTAACTTTTCCAGGAAAGTGGTCCGCCTGACTCCCGCGGGCGAAATGACGTGAAGTGGACCAACAAAAGCGACGCGGCGCCCCCTCAAAAACGGCTGCAACGCGACGCGACGCGACGAGACGCCACGCCACGCCACGCCACGCGCGAAGCGGATTTCCCGCCGGAGGTTTCCGCCGCCTGGTGCGCGGGCGCGTGTTTTCCTTTCCTTTCCTCCGCGCTCCGTCTTCCTCGTTCGCATCCAATGACACAGCGCCGAAGAAAGTCAAAGAATAGAAACGCGTTACAAAATAACCCGCGAAGATACCCAACGATTTTCAACTTTACGAACTTCACGAACAAAAGATGCTACACCTCGCAAGAAAAATCGCTTACCATAGGAGCTGCAACTTGAAACGAAAAAGATAGTATGCGAGTTGTATGCGCAATGCATAAAAAGTAAATGGGAAAATTTGCCGAAGGGAAGCGCGTCATTCTTCTGTTTTCCCGTTTCAAAGTATCCCAAAAACTTGCAGTATATTTTTTACCCAAGTATCTCCACCCTGCTCGAGGACTGAAAATAAAAGGATACGAGAGAGATGCTTTTCGTAGGTTCTACAAGGCAATCGACGACATAATCACAGCTGTGTATTTGCTGAAGGCGAAAATATTACCTTTAGGCGGAATGCAGATTTCTGCGAGTTAAATCATTGCAGATTCGACAGGTGTCAGTAAAATTCGAACATTTGTAAATTTACGTCAACAAAAAAGTGCGCATACACAGTTATATATAGCGAGCACATGTCTATTTCTCATTATTCAGTGGAAGTATATTACATTACTTAATTATGTATGTTATGTGTGAGTAAAAATGCCGAGTCTACTTCGACTCAAAACTTACCACGAAGTTCCTCTGCAGCCCACGCAACAACGCATCACCTCAAAGCACTCACCTGTAACACACAAATAATTTAAAATGAAAATTAAATTTGTAAATTCACAGAAATATATCTTATTCAATCCAAGCGTTATTCTATATAAGTAAACAAACAAATAATTCATAATTTCAGTAACAAACACAATATATAAACTTAAAATAAATTATTCGGTTTATAACTTTCTAGCCTCTGGGCAGATCTTGCAACAATGTTGTCATATTTGTCAAATTTCCTTTTGAAATACTGCATCTGATATGCATGAAAAAAACCTATCGCCAAATACTTTTGTGAGCTTTCTCATAAATGATTCGTCAATTAAATATTCAATTTATTAAACAACATTCTTCAGTTTCAAGCTCAGTGCTGGTTGTTTTACCCTAGCTTTCTACCACTCCCGTGAAGTAACGGCATTGATCGGCGAGTGAAAGGATTGTTCCACTTTCTGGCATTAATGTGACTTCTGAACCTTCAACAGAATATTGGAGTGACGTAAAGAATTGAAATGAAATCTAATTATCTACAGTCTTAAAAGGTTCTTCGCTTCACAGACAGACATTGGATGAAGATTGTTCATCCTCAAAATCCACAATTCAAAAATCGATGCGCTGAATAATTACTTCACGACGAGAAGAATTTTTTGTGAATCTCAAGCCAAAAATAATAATCGACTTCAATACGACACTTTTGTAAGAAAATGTTCTTTTGATTTTACGTGAGGGAAATATATTAGTGATTTTTTTTTTTTTTTTTTTTTTTTTTTTTTTTTTAGAATTTCGAAATACACGATTACGCCCCCGATTAAAGAACAAATTACTATTCCTGGTCTGGTATAACAATCATTGCGAGTATTTCTTTTCATCTATATTTTTCCCTGCCAGAAAACAACTAAGTCATTATTTTATTCTTTTCAAAATGGTTCTTATTTATGCAGAGACTTTCAGTATATAAAAAGCTTATTTTGACAATCTTATTCCAGTTGCAAGTGGTTTCCATTCATAACATCTGCGTGAAGAATGACATTTCTTCCTACTTTCCAACATTTCTGTATTGCGTCATACTACATTTCTTATTCGCAATGTCTATCAGATGTGATTCATACGCTTCTACGGCCATAAGCTACATCACCTTCCCCAAAGGCCGCGCAACTTACACGGCACGTCAAGAAATGCTACGTGACACAAGTGGGAAACATTCATTTGCGGAATCACGTACGCTTTAGACAGCGGTGTTATTAAAAGTTCTGCAGCAACCACTTACTGTGGAGAACACGTATGCCGTCAACTACACATGATGTTTCAGAATAAATGTTAAACATTTCTAGGTCCTATAAAGGATCTAAAATGAACACTTTTTGCCAATGAACTTCACATGAGGGAAATCATAGGAAAGTTCATACAACACAGTTGTGTATATAACATACGCCCCTGATTTTCAGGAAACTCTTTAAGCACAGGTGATCTCGCAGGTGCCATTCAGACGCAGTCTACATATCTCATTATCTGACGAACATCTATGCATACGGGTTTGCTTAACAATACGGCGCAAATTCCACATCAGTTTTATGAAATTTCCCACTACACGCTCAAGGGCAATGCTCAATGGTATGAAGTAATTCGGCTCCTGTATATGCCTTAGAAATTGAAACATTTATTCTAAGACATCTGAATAGTAAAACCATTCGAATTATCACACTACGTCACGCTAGGCGTCTCCCGAGAACACACTCCTTTACACAAATGCTTTCTGGGGATAAATGCATTTGCCAATTTTCGAAGGGGTTGGGAATTCAAGCTTCATACGTACATTTTTGAAACATCTACAAGGTTTTAATAACTTCTCAACATCTATTATTGACGGAACGGTGGCTATAGATCCACTTCTAATATTGGCTGCATTGTAGGGTACTAGTCAATTTAGCACATGGGCGCCTAGCGTTACGACTATCCGACGCCTACGATCGACGACCGCAACAGACACAATAACAGTCTCGGTGATGTTGACCAATTATTTGCGTTCTCTCTGGGCGAATACGAAATCTGATTGGGACGGCAATTGTCAAAGAATTTTAATTTTGTAGCTAGCAAGGGACTTGTTTTCATGCCAGAAGTGTTCCTCGATACACATAGGATTTTACACCCTTTAAAAACACCCGGACCCCAACGGGGTTAAAAACCTGTGTACTTGAGTATTTGAAGTCAGTGCGCAAATCACTGATGCTGGCCTTTTTGACAGCTGCTTTTGGTTCGTTTCCTGTGAACCGAGCGCGGGCAGCCCCAGCCAGGGGGAGAGCGAGGCGGAGAGCGAGGCGGAGAGCGAGGCGGAGAGCGAGGCGGAGAGCGAGGCGGAGAGCCTGGCGAGGACGTGCCCGCCTCCGCGCCGCCCGCCCCACGTCATCGCCCGCGGCCGTTCACCCGCCGCACCGCCCGCACGACCAACACTCCGTGGCTGGCGCGTCCCGCCCCGCACCGCTGTACGCCTCGCCGTTCCGCTAGCCCCGCCACCATTGGACGCGCGTCGCTCCACGCTGCTCCGACCAACACCACACCGTAGCGGACTCTCCTCCCCGCATGTCCTGTCCGCCCTTGTCCTCCCTCAGTTTCTTTCCGCCCCCTGTCCTCTCTCCGTTTCTCTCCGCTTCACCTCCAACCTCACTATGTGAATTCGTCACACTCTGCTCAGGTGTCCCGCAGCCTCCTACCAGTTTCCTCTGACCCTCTCTCCACAATGGATGCAATCTGTTCTTCCCCCGCTCCGCGTGAACTGCTTCCTCGATTCCCTTCATGCCAAACTAATTGACTATTACAATCAGCGTCATATATTTCTGATCTGCAGACTTCATAACCTATGCGTATTATTATTTCAAATATTATTATTAATGCTCCCTGATGTACAGATGTTTTCATACAGCTGACATATTACAGAGCAAACTAACGTATTACGTCATTTTTTTCTTTTTAATCCTAGCGTTTGTCCCGCAGTCCGCCAGGTCGCAGCTGACCTATACCGGTTCGGATGAGGTGGCTCAGGAAGAAACGTACCCTCCCTGTCCGAATCGGAAACATTACGGGATGGGAACGATGGCAAAGGGAATAAGAAGGAGAGCAAGCGCGCGGTTCGTGGCTCGTTTTTAAGGCTCGAGCCGCCCCAAAAACACACTGATAAGACCATCTACGTACTATTTTGATACGCTTGCCGCTACCGGTGTTGATAGTTGCATCACCTACAGCGATTGATTTTCTTTGGCTTACAGAATTAGTGAAAGTGCAAGAAACATTTGTCTGTTTCTCAACATCGCGTTTAGTTTGTCTCTTTCTACCTCACCATGTATCACCGCATAGAGTTATGTCATGCCGAGTGGTAGTGTTTCTTACCGCAACCTACTCTACAATATCGTATCGCGGTACAGCAACGTAGAATATTGTACAGTACTATATCGAATATTGTACAGTACTGTATTATCGTATTTCTCTTACATCACACCGTACTACAACATTCCAAATAGTACTTTACCTGCAAGGCATAATACAATTTTACCGACTTCACGCACCTTCGCCGCGCCTTGATACCCACTCTCCCCATCTTTTTTTTTCTTTTGTCCCCTCCACAGTAACCCTGTGAAGAAGGGGAATTAATTATCTATAAATGTTTATACAGTTTTGCTGCCGCCTTGCGGCTTAAGCAGCTAGAGACGGGGCTTTTTCTTACAACTAATTTACATTCTAGACCTAAAGTTAACTTACTTGCACTTTGGCATTACTAACTTACACTACAATCAGTTTTGTAATACTATGTTATATATTCTACGTAAATAGTTATTATAAAGGATGGTAAATTTTTTTTTCTACATTCACACCTCATTCACACTCTCCCCATCTCACTGCACGGCTCTCCAGCTTCCCAACTCAGCGTCCTGCCGGCGTCGCCCCCCTCCCTGCGCTTGTTCTTATTTCTCGCAGCAGCTGCTGGGGCCGTGGGGCGGTGGGCGGACAGCTGCAGCGGCGCGGCGGGCGTGCGGGCAGGCAGGCAGGTAGGCGGACGCTAATGCGCGCTGACGCGTCCGGGCGGTCGAGTGGACGTTGAAAACGAGCGGGGAGCGCCCGTCCCGGCCGCCGGAAGCCTCGGCGTTCCCATCGAGTGACAACCTCCGCGCGCTAACATGTGTATAAATCACACACAAGTAGAAAGCGCCGTACTAACTGCAACTCTGAACCGAAAAATCGATGTTTACACACACAAACAGGCACGAATCAACGACTTTCTGCAAGTTATCAACACACTACAAGCAAACATACATCATTGTTACATAGTATGAATTACTTTGAAATTGATAGTTATGTACATATTAATACACTGACAACCTTACATGGCATTTTAAGTCGGAGAAACACCACTCGGACTCTTTATTACTCCAATAAATACTACAAACAATTTGGAGATTTAACAGAAATAGCAACGACATTTCGTCGACATTATGAGATTATGTACACTTATTTCAAAACGGTTTCTACACTAGACGACCTGAAGTTCTACGTCATCTCAGAATTTCAGAATCTCACATGATCAGTTTTAGAATTTTAAGGGTGGGGCCATTTAACCCGAAGATTTCCAACCTCGTCCGTTTCTAGGGTTAACGAATTCTATGATCTAACAATAGGAAACATTTGTATACAAACAAGCCGTGACCCTACAATTCAGCCCTTCGCGACGTTGTTAAGGAGTAAGCTGAACAAGCACAACTTCTCTCATTCATGGTACTATTCAAATGTCAAGCAACGATTCATCCAGTTTACAACGTCAATTAATCAATAAATTCCATATTTCTACGACATGCAGGATTCCGCAACGCGTCTTGCAACGCCGGGAACCCTCTGCCCTCGGAACAAACCTCGGTCGAGATCGAATCTGCGGCCTTGGTTACCTTACTCAAGACAAGGGGCGCCCAAGCAATTTCAACGACTCGCATTGCACTCATCAAAATAAAATACAAGTGAACAGCATACTTAAATATTAAACCTTCTTTTAAATTTCAGTTATTGGAGTAATTATTCTCAGAACAACTACCATCCTTAAAACACAGTTTTTTTCGTTCAATCCGTATAGGGAGAAAACATTATTTCAATCTCTGATGTGTACTTCAATGCAGGACATTCAATCACTGCGTAATCAGAAGAAAACTTGAATTGATATTACAAAATTTAAAGTTGACAAATTGACGGTTCTTTTTATAACACATCTTGAAAATTATGCTATTATATTAAGCTGCAATATTTGTTTTGAAACCTGCCAAGTCGCTCCCATAGAACTCGGAAGCGTAGTGCCACGTTCACAATGCACCCATGTCGGCATTCTCTCAAAGTCGATGAAAGCGGATGCGGAGGAAGGTAGTGCCAGAGGCGGCCCACGTGCGCCGGTTCGCCTCCCCTGCTGAAGAGCGGCGGCGTATTGAGCGAAGGCGCGCCACCCGTTCGCACGCCCCACTTCACGTGCGCCCCACGGAGCCGCCAGGCCTCTCCGGTGTTAGCAATTAAGCCACCGAAGCTCACCTAGCCTTTCGCAGAAACATCAAATTCTCCGATGACGTCATCTATCCTTCTTACAAACTCGCATTAAATTGTCCGACGACAGGATGAGGTGACGTATCCTAGTTCTCACAAACTCGATAACGAATGGAGGAGACAGTGCGAAATACAATTGTCACCGATTGCAATGAAAATTCGTCCTTCATATCAGTTGTCATGGAACACAAATCACGAGTACTTCTTTCCATTAAACTTCAGTTTGATTATATGAAGCGCCGGCAGCAATCTTTTCACTGATCGTTCTGAGCCATCACTGCGCATAGGAAAACATTTTGCGGCGCGATGCGGTTTTCGGTGAAGCTCAACTGTTCTAGAACGCTGACCAAATAATCGTTGACTGACCTGATAAAACAGTGCGGCAACTCAACTTCTCCGAGGGACAGCTGCCAAGCGCAAAGAAGTTGGATGGCCGGTAAAACCCCTCGGTCGTCAAACCTGAGTTCCACGGCCACCGGCTCTCTGCCAATGACCCAAGACTCTGTTTGGCGCCCTCGAGTCTTATGGCGCACTGGGAAGCATTGGAGTGTATATTTACGGGACTAATGGCCTTAATAGTTGTCGCGCCAGGAATTAATACATATTCACTCAAACATACACGCGTACACAAACACACACTTGCACATATCCTCATACTCACGCCTTATATGTACATAGCCCACACACACACACACACACACACACACACACTATATATATATATATATATATATATATATATATATATATAATATATATGTACCTATATATATAGATATATATAAAATTATAGATATATATGCGTACTATATATATCGTGTTTATCCAGAGTCTGTACGTAGCTGTACTGTCAACCCATCCCTTCCGAGCAGCGGGCTCATATGAGCGACGCCTTGTCTCTCCCGGCGGAACAGCGCGAGCGGCGGGCGTTAGGTCGGAAGAGGAAGCTTCGGGTCAGCTCAGCCTAAGCCTGAGGCTTAGGCGAAATTGCGTTTCGGGTGACGCAGGTACCGGAGAGGGGATGTCGGGGAACAGATCGTGAGCGCCTGGCGGAAGAGGAGAGGACGAGCACTTAACCAAACATGTTAATATTGCTATGCACTTGCACAACAGCAACCACGAAACGTTATTTAGTACGCGTATAATATTCGCAAGTGAAATAGAGATGTACAAGAAAAGTTAACTTGATAGCTCATGAATTTTCGTCATAGTTATTATCTCAATTAATTCTGATATTCTGATTATCATTGGCCAAGAGAGGCGAGCAAGAACATGTAAACTGTCATCTTTGCAGTCACGGAAATTTTACATTAAATATAATGATTTAACAATTAGGAACTGTATTTCAACACAAATGCATGTATTTTTCCAGCAGACAGTATGCTCATTTGGTAATGTACAAAACACCTAATTTTCATGAATTTATAAACAATACTGAAGACGTGTAAATTCATTGCTCAATTATGCACATTTTGCATTGTTTTCTAAATAAGCTTGATAGTTCTGCTACTAATTTTGCCGATTTTCCTTGCCAGCATTTCGTGTTACACACTTATTTGTATTTATTTTAATCCGTTAATTTTAGTTTCCATTTTGTAAGGCATGTTTCTATTTACGTCGATTGCAGCTAATATCAATTTTCGGAATCTGAATTATGGAAGAATTTGATCCAGGAAATCACGATCGTTTCCAGTAACACGTACCGTCCAATCAATCTTTAAGGTGGTAACGATGATGAACTTTTAAACTCAACATGTACTGTCTCCAATCCAACATGTCACGAATACTCAAACACAATACGTCCAACCAGTCTCGCTTGCCTGCTCCACGTACGAACGA